CCCGGGGAAGGGGGGGGGAGGCAATTGGGGGGGGGGGGTTGTCTTTGCTTAGGGAGGACGGCTCCAGAGCAGACTAATTTATGCAGCAGCCCAATTGATGGCTTGCAACTTTAACGCCAGTAGGTCACCGAGTAGAATTTTTTCACACAGCCCCATGCGCCCTCCCTCACCCTCTGTTATGCACGCGCTCCTCCTCTACCAGCCCCGAGCCTCTGGAAGCCCACAAGGAAGGAGAGCCAATGGGGGGGCTGAAAAAGGCAGCGAGGGCGGGGGGCACCTCGGCTGATCTTTTTCCAGGCCTGGCGCGGGGCCTGAAAAAGGAGGGGAGGTGCCTCGGCAGACGATGGGAGGGCTCCACAGGGACCTTACCTCCCTGCTGCTTGCTCCTTGGCCTGACTGATGGCTGCTGGGAGCAGGGGGCGGGGCTTATGTCCCCACCCCCTGGGCTTCTTACTGGCGGAGCGGCATACCGGCGCGCTCTGGCAGGAACCGAGGCCTGCTTTTAAATGTAAGTGAAACTGTGTGTGTGTTTATGTATATATAATTTTAAATACTAATACACTTATAGATAAAAGAACCAGCTATCTTTAATATCCAAACCCTTATTTCTTGTGAAGAGCAATTTGAAACCATTATTCAGTTGTAGCTCATCATTCTAGAACAGTGTTAATTTTCATGCCATGTGCTTTTATTCTCACATTTGGCATTGCTAAATTTTCCTGCACTTGTATAGCACATCATTTGTGCAGCAGCTGTACCCTAAATTAAAAGTCAACGGTAGCAAGAGTGAAAGTACAACTTACCTGCCAGCCACCAGCAGGGGCCCTTCCTCAAGCCGGGTTCTGCCTGTGGGTCACCCACTGAACCCTGCACATCTTTCAGTGTGGTTCTCTTATCATTGCACAGTCTTAGTTTTGCTGTTATTTTTCTCTATAATTTCTGAGGTTTGGGGGAATTGCTGGCTTAATTTAACGTAGCCTGAACATGAACAGAGTAAATCTTTGCTGTTTAAATTTAATCATGAGTAAAGTGAATTGCTAGCCCTAGTGATTTTTAAATTTTAAGATATTTTTAAAAGTTTCTAACCACCTTCTGGTTTGCTTTGTTTTTCAAAGATGGGAATACTACCTGTGCAAACTCCACCACTCTTCCCTTAAAAGTGATACCTGCAAACCTCGTCGATGCATCTGACTTTGAGTGTTCCCTCTGTATGAGGTATTTTGAGCAAGAAGTGAGAAACAGTCTAAATTTTGCTTGAAAAGAGTATCATGGCATTGAGGAAAGAAGAGGGCTCTTCTGTAAATTTCATAAACTCTCTACCAACTTCACAGAAGATCCTATGTGAACTAATTGCTCTAATTCATTATTTGAAAGCAGACTTCGGAATATGATACCTTTAGTTAAGAAATGCAAGTTTATTTTCAAAGTATGTGGACATGAGGAACTCGCATGATAATGTATGGCATAAAATCAGGAGGAGGGGCTTTAGCTGGAGGAAGAAATTTAGTTGCCCCTCAATAAAAGTATAATTGTGGGTTTAAATGTATGAATGATTACTCCTGGTATTTCTAGGGCTGTTGTTCATATCTCTCATGTAACTGCATGCACTTATTATAGACCCATGAAAACAGTTGAGGAGGGAAAGTTGTGCTTTGGATGTAATTATGAAGTAACTTTTTTTAAAAAAATGTTCACCGTGTCTTGTTCAGGTTATTTTATGAGCCTGTAGCTACTCGTTGTGGACACACATTCTGCCTCAAATGCCTTGAACGTTGTATGGACCATAATCCTCACTGTCCACTGTGCAAGGAAGAGCTCTCTGAGGTAAGTTTCCCTTTTCCATGTGGCTGCTTAAATATGAAACACTTTAAAGTGTAAAAACGCCACTGCTGGATAAAGCAAGACCAGTGTGCTGTTTTGCACAGTGGCCAACTAGGTGACCCACAGCAGGGAATCAGAGGCCAAATAATTTCCCTGTGGCTGCCCCCTAGCAATTGTGATCCCATTTATCCATCGCAGCTAATAGCTCCTGATGGACCAGTCTTCCATGAATTTGTCCAGTGCTCTTTTAAAGCTGTCTGGCCTTGTGAGCATCATTACATACTGCTGGAGTGAGTTACAAAAGATGTTTGAGAAAATAATTTGTTTTGTCTCTCCTAAATCTACTGCCCATTCACCTCATTAGGTGCCCTTGAGTTCTGGTCTGTTGGGATGGAGGAAAATACCTGCCTCTAGGAAGGGAATCAGAAGCTCACCATGGATGGTTATGCAGCTGTCATAGATATTGCCAAGGGCTCCTCTCCCTGTGCTGGGTGTCAAAGCAGAGCCATTTTCTTCCTTTCCATCTGATTCCCGACAATGGTTTCAGGCCCAAAAGGAAGAAAGAGAAAGCTCTCTACACTTCAGTGGACACACCCAGCTTATTGTGGGGGCTGTCTTTAGCTCAGGGGATAAATGAGACAAAACTTCCTAAATGCTTTTAACGTTTCATTTACAGTTTTTGGCAAGCAGAACTTATAAAAAAACCATCCTTACTGAAGAGTTAATAGTTCGTTATTTGCCAGACGAGTTGTCTGAAAGGAGGAAAGTTTATGAGGAAGAAATGAAGGAATTATCAAAGTAAGTAGGCTTCCTACAAAAATAAACAGATAAAAATTAACTAGTTAGCTTAAATATCAACCACTTACTTGTGCGTGTATATGACTCTTTGCAAGATTCTTGCAACACTAGCATGTTTTTAGCTGAGCAAAATGGTTTGTCTGGGTCATGAGTCTAGACAGTGGCTTGGTTCACACAGGAGCCTCTGAAGTGGACTTTGTGACCGCTTTTGCAGGCATCTAGAGAGCCTCTTTCCATTTCTTTTGCTAGTGCTGCTATTGCAATGCCTAATGTCTTCCCCATCTCATCACAGGACCTTGTGTCGTTGAGCAACAGAACAAAGAAGTTGGAGCAAAATTGGCTTGCTTGTTCCTTCTCTCTGCTACCCAAAACCTTCAGGTTCTGGCCATCGTTGCTCACAAGAGGAGTTAGAGCAGGCTTCTTGGATGCCTGTGGAGCTGCCACCAGGATTGGTAGTTTCTTTTCTCAGCTGGAAGTTAGGCTTGGATTCCACATTAGAAAAGAGCAAGAGTCCAGTTAGCACCTTAAAGACTTACAAAATTTGTGGTAGGGTAGGAGCTTCCACGAGTCACTGCCACAAATTTTGTATGTCTTTAAGGTGCTGCTGGACTCTTGCTCTTTTCTACTGCTACAGACAGACTAACATGGCTACCCATCTTGATCTATCTTCTTGGATCCCACAGTTAAGTTCTGCTGGCAGAAGGGATTTCCTGTAATGGAGCTGGACTGCTTTGCCTCCTGCCCCAGCCCCAAATCCCCCCCCCCGTCAAAATGCTGCTCCTGGGAGACAGACAAGAAACCTTTCCAGTAACAGCACGGTGTGTGTGTGTGGGAGGAGGTCTGCAGCGGGGGGGAGGCAAGAATACGTCCATCTCCTTCTCTGTTAGTGGAACTTTTCTATGGGGTCTAATTTATAAGGACTGATTCACAAACACCCGGTGAACTAGTAACAACACAGCATGCTTTGTAAGGGTAGAAAACACCAGATCAACAGGTGAAGCATTTCCATTGTACTAATCACCATGCTAAGCAAGGTTTTACCTATTCATCTCTATCTGTTCAGTGAGCTTTGTCTGAAATATTGTGACATCATTGCCACGATGTATGGTTAACCGCTTTTGTGGCGGAGGATGGAAATAAATATAATATGCTTACAAGTGTGAAGTTGTATACAGATTTCATGTGTTGTACACGTGAATACAAAGAACTTGATAGTACATGTTCTTCTGTCCCTACAGTAAGTTGTTGTAGAGTAATGCATAGGGGGGAGGTTGGAGAAAGTGCTAGAAATGACAGCAAAGCTAAGCTTTGTATAAAATATGGATTTTAGCTGTGTGTCTTGATGAATGCCTAAGTACATGACTTTAAAAACCCTTTTCTTATGCTTTACAGTTTGAATAAAGATGTTCCTATCTTTGTGTGCACCATGGCTTTACCTACCATCCCCTGCCCCCTTCACGTCTTTGAACCTCGCTATCGGTTAATGATAAGAAGATGCATGGAAACTGGTACCAAGCAGTTCGGCATGTGTTTAGCAGATGAGCTGAAAGGGTAAGCAAAGGATTTGAAAGCACGCTTGCAAGTGCTGAATTTCTGCAAGAGAAGGTGCCAAGGTCTGGTTTGGAAGTTCCCCCAGTTCCTGGTGGGTGTGTACTGGGCTGGCTGTGGTACCTTAATGGAGTAGGAAAAAAACATTCTGCTTGCAGACAGGAGCATTCTGCTGTTACTGTTCAGGGAGGGGCCCTGGCTCAGTGGTAGAGCATCTGCTTGGCATGCAGAAGGTCCCTGGTTCAATCCTTGGCATCTCCACATCATAGGACCAGGCAGTGGAAGACCCCTGCCTAAGACCCTGGCGAGCTGTTACCAGTCTGAGTAGACAATACTGACTTTGATGGAACAAGGGTCTGATTCAGTATAACGAAGCTTCATGGGTCCATGTGTACTTCCCAGTGTACTGAGCTCTGAATGAGGCTCAGTGGCTGCTGCTGGTATGCTCTGGTTTAAGTGAGGCTTTGTTTCTTGGCTGGCATCTGACAAGCCCAAATGGTGCTGTAGCTTGGACTTCTCCAGACATTTTTGGTCCTTTGAGTCTTTCCTGACCAATACAAACACTTGTGGAGTGTAAATAAATGTGAAATACCCAGTTTTTATCTTTGCACGAGTGTGTCTTGCTGTCACAGGGACATGATGCGCTCTCTCTCCCTCTCCCTCTCTCTCTCTTTTGCTGTCAAGTCACAGCTGACGTATGGCCACCCTGTAGGGTTTCCAAGGCAAGAGACACAGAGGTGGTTTGCCGTGGCCTGCTATGGCTATGGCCCAGGTATTCCTTGGTGGTCTCCCATCCAAATACAGACCAAGGCTGACCCTGCTTAGCTTCTGAGATTTGACGAGATCGGGCTTGCCTGGGCTATCCAGGCCAGGGCATGCAGTGTGAATCCCCATAAATGATTCAGCTGCCATTCTTTCATGCCTCTGCAACATGCTTTTACGTCATCGTAGATGGGGGCAGAATGTAGTATCCAGATTAGTCTACATGAGATGAATGTCTGCCAAGATAGGATGCCAAAGAGGATCCTCTTTAGATGAGCCATTTCTTGTTCTTTGCCAGTATTCTTTTCACACTGATATTACAGTCTTCATAACATAGGTCATCTGTGATATGTAGAGGCAGAATCTGCCATGCTCTTTTGTTCCCATCCCAGTAATTCGCACCTCTTTTAGAGCCTACTTGTTCATACCGTTAGATACGAACACCAGAAACTGTCAAACCTCTCAGTTAGGGAAATTGTACTCTCTGACCAAGAGGCTCAGACAAGCCTTCTCAACAGTACTGAGAGACTGATGGAGGCAATGAGATCTTATTCTCTCTTTGGCTGAACAGACTTATTGTCTGCACACACAATCCTCGAATGCTAACAGGATTTATTGAGTGCACAGTGTGATGATTACACAAAGACAGAACAGCACACCCAGATTGTTATCCACCCAACACACCCAGCTTGTTATCTCCCCCCCCCCCCATGAGATTGCAATTCAGGGTTCAGTCACGCTGACATTAAACACCTATATGTCGGCTAGCATGGAGAATATGGAGATGATGAGTCCGCACAGAAGAGAGAGATGCCCTCCTCCCCATTGATTTTCAGCTGTCTCATCATCTGGGTCATCCAGATGATGGGGCAGCTCTATCCTGTCTGGGTGGAACCAGGTAGGGTCTTCTTCTGGAATGCTTCAGTCCATCTGGCATAGCTCAGAATTAGGCATAAGTTTACTCTGCCCTTGCCGTCATTGTTACTGGCACCGTCTGGTGCCTAGAATGGGTTTATCAAAGCTAGGAATGCAGTATGTCTCACTTTCTTTATATTATTTTACTTAAACATGCCTGTGTCCCTGCTGGCCGAGAAGATATGTGTGGCTAAGGGGCAATGTGCCCTGTTGAACCTTTTACATAGAAAAGAACAGTGCAAAGCATAATCTTAAAGCAGGCCTTTTACACAGAAAGAAGAGTGGAAAGCATAATTGGGCCTAAAGCCCCCGAAAGGGCTTTATTTTGGTTCGAATGAGGCTCAGTAACTGAGCTCAGAATTCTCATACCAGGGTTATCTCCAACAGTACTGTGTGTGTAAATCTTATTGAGTAACTGTTGACTATTCCTTTGGTGCTTGGCCACAAGAATCATGAACTTCTCTCATTTAATCCCACGGGGAGTTGCGCAGTACTTAAAGAATGATGTGATTGTCAGTCCACAGACTTAGGGGAACTCGAAATATGAGGTCATCTGCAGTGCTGAGATAGGCTGCCTATTGTCCCAGCTGCCTTTTCTCTCTCACCAAAGGAATAGTCAAGTACACTTGCACTTCTGGTATTACAGTTTGATACTGAGGATTATCCATTCCGGAGCAAGCCATTTGGAGTTCAGTAGGGCTAGCTCCCTAAACAAGCTTAGGATTTCAACCTTAATATAGATTTATCTCATCTCTTGTCTGTCTCTCATCAGCTTTGCCGATTATGGCTGCATGCTAGAGGTCAGGGATGTAAAGTTCTTCCCCGATGGCCGCTCAGTTGTTGATACAGTTGGCGTTCGGCGTTTCAGAGTCTTGAGCCATGGTCAACGAGATGGGTATAATACTGCAAACATTGAATATCTGGAAGATAAAAAGGTAAGTTCTTCAGTAAATCAGTGTGCCATCCAAGATTATATTGTTGTATATGTTTTGGGGATTTCTTTTGTCTTATCAGCTGTTAAATAAGTTGCCTAACCATCTTCACCCCAACTTCACATTGTTAACCTCTCTCTGTCCCTTGGACTTGTTGTTCACTTTTGGTAGTGGCTTTACTCTGTTTCAGATCATCCTTGCTGTGGTAGCTGAAGTCGTCTCCCCTTCTCCTTATTGGTGCAGTAACCAAGCATTAGGACCACTCTTAGCATTTCGTAATTTTGAATCAACATGCCACATTCAAAATTTCAGTTTCATACCCTAAGCGTCACAATAACTGGTGGTGGAAAGTACTGTCAAGTCACAGCTGACTTATGGTGAGCTCGGTCAAGTCACAGCTGACTTATGGTGAGCCCGTAAGGCAAGGGTGTCAAACATAAGACCCGGAGGCTGGAACCGGCCCTTCCAGGGCTCCAATGCGACTCATGAGCAGCTAGTGCAAGGGAGGGAACAGGAGACTTTTCTGGAGGAGTGAGTGGAGCCACTCCAATTGTGGCTTCAGCATGGCCGAATGACCTTGTCTGCAGCAGTCAAGCAGGATGGGAACATCTGCCCGGTGCTGCACTGCTGGCTCTCCAGTCCACCCGTATGGGTTTCCCTCTGCATCTCCCTCCCAGCCTCTAGGGCCTTGCAGGGCGGATACAACAACTTGGAGCTTACCAGCTGCTGTCCTTTACACAGTTTATATCTCCACTACCTGGCATTATGTTTTATGGCATACATGACCTGGCCCGACAAAGTGACATTTATGTCAGATCTGGCCCTCGTAACAAATGAGTTCGACATCTCTGTTGTAGGGTTTTCAAGGCAAGAGTCGTTCAGAGGTGGTTTGCCATTGCCTCACTCCGCATCATGCCCTTGGAATTCCTTGGAGGTCTCCCATCCAAATACCAGCCAGGGCTGACCCTGCTTAGCTTCTGAGATCTGATGAGATCAGGCTATGTCTAGACGTTTGCAATTTTATTGCACAGCATCCCCAAATTCTCACTTATTACAGACTCCAGAATAAGGATGTGTAAGTTTGTAGCAGAAATAAAATTTTAAGAAGTGGAAATTGCCCTTATGTGTGCTATTTGGGGGGTATTTAAGTGGCCAGATATTAGGAATGACGTATAATCAGCTTGCGGGTTATATGAGGCCTCTTAAGTGAGTATCAGTGGCGGCCTTCTTTAGATAGATGTAGCATTAGAAAGCTCTATCAGATCACAAGTTTCTCAAGCATGCTTTGCTTTAGATAGATGTAGCATTAGAAAGCTCTGTCAGATCACATGTTTCTCACGCCACTGGCCTTTAATTACATTAATTTCTGCAACTGGTTTCCCCAGTTGTCAGCTCAAAGCTGTTCTTAACAGATGGAGAGAAAAGGTAAATACATGGAAAACAGAGTTTCTCTTGAATGTTAAAATAGTCTGAGCTGTTGTTTTTAAGAGCTCACTGCGGAAGATCAAGTCTTTGTTGCACGGGGGCATATTGTAATATTGCCTGCTTGTTCTGAAGTGACACATAGTAGAAAAAAACCTTTTTGAGTGAGTATTCTGATTCCATCTTTACACCCTCAGTATAGAACACTAGAACTCGCCTTCCTTTACTGTTCCACAGCAATCATGGACATTAGGAGAATATTTATCATTCCCCAAATGATAAATTATCACAATATTGGTAAGGAAGTGGATCGTATTGTTCTTGCCTCACGACAAGTAGAATCTTACCATTCTCCTGCTGCTTCCCTGGTGCAGTGCGATGAGAATTCAGTAACCACTTGAGAAGACAAGAGCGTTGAAGAAGTCCTTATCTATACACTTGTTAAGACACCACTTGAAAAATGTTTGTCCATACCCTCTTGTAATACATTCTCAGCATTCATTGCTTTATTTTCTCCTTTCACTCTTTTTCTCGGACTGCTGTTGTATATCACATCTACATATGTCTCTGTTCATCAAACCTGGAAGTACCAACCTTCCTGGGTTTTAATATCTGTGTGTAGTACCTTCGAATGAGAACCAGCTTTGGAGCAGATTATGTTTGCTGGAACTGTGGCAGGGCTTTTTCAGCTGTTGTCCCAAGTTTGTGGAATGCCCCCTCTCTTTGATAAAATGCGTTCTAGCTCTTCAGGCCTTCTGGACCAAACTAAAGACTTCTCTTTTCTAAGAGGTTTTTGAACCAGACTGAAATGGGGGACAGTGCTTGCTGTTCATACCTTTGTGTTTAGTGTTTTATGATAATTTTAATTGTTTTGTATTAACTACCTTATTAGCCACCTTGAGGACTCGTTACAAAGGCAGCCCGAAGTATGTCTGTTTCCTAATGCAAGTGTTCTTGCACTCTTAGCTGTACAACCGTGCAGTAATAGTACGAAGCAATACATTGTTTTGAGGAGACCTATCTGTGCTGTTTTAATCTTGTGAGCTTTTTTGTCTTGTCTACTGATGGTTATATTGTGATTTATTGGTTTGCAACTTGTGTTGTTGGCCGCCTTGTGTCTAAGGAGCCACAGCAGGATATAGATACTTTAAAAAAATGAATCAAGTAGGCTTGACATGCAAGGGCATGGTGTGGTCCCACGCTGGTATCCCCAGATCCAGCTAACAGCTAGATAGAACAGGAATCTTCGTTTATTGGAAGGTACAAACGGTCTCATTTTAATTCACATATGACTGTTTGGATAGAGCTCTGCAATGCACCTAGTAACATAAGAGGCTTGTGTCTTTGACTTTTTATGTAGTTTCCTTTCTGTTTATACTTCCCCTTCACCTCCCCTAAGAGTGTCATAGATTCAGGTGGGTAGCCATTTTGGCCTGAAGCAATAGAGCAAAGTTTGAACTCAGTGGCACCTTTAAGACCAACAAAGTTTAATTCTGGGTATAAGCTTTCATGTGTATGTGCACTCAAACTTCATTACATTTGGGAATGATTGTTCCCTTTAAATATAGTGAAATCCTCTTAATACAAAATCTGTGTTGAATAGAAGGCATTTGATCCTCCTTAAAATTACGTCCAGCTAAGAGGAAGTTGGGCCTTCTCCCTAACAGTGTTGCAAGTGTGGTAGATCTGGTTGACTTCAAATCCTTTTGCAACCATCACTGAGTGAGGATTTACCAGGGGAGGAGTACTGAGCTCTTTATCTGCCCAGTGTTGAGATGTGGTTTGGTAGGGGTGGCATATATATCCAGCATGTGGATTATTCTCCTGTTCCAGCAGTTAGAAACAGGCCTCGGGTAACAACCATCTTTCTTCAGCGATTCAGATAGAAGCTCATAAGCAATACTTTTTTGAATTCACCAGTCCGCAGTGTTCCCTCTAAGCTGAGTTAGTGTGAGCTAGCTCACAGTTTTTTAGCCTCTGGCTCACACATTTTTGTCTTAGCTCAGGAAGGATGGCTCCAGAGCAAACTAATTTATGCAGTAGCCAAATTGCTTGCTCACAACTTTAATACCAGTAGCTCACAAAGTAGAATTTTTGTTCACAGGACTCCATGGCTTAGAGGGAACATTGGTCCCAAGTTACACTAAGATCTGTGGCATCTAGTCCAGAATTTTTCATTTGTTTCATTTTATCCTGACCTTCCTTCAAGGAACTTGGGATGGTATACTTCATTCACCTACCCCCAATTTTACCCTCACAACCACCATAGGAGGTAATTTAAAGTCAAGAAGTGGCAAGTGGTCTAAGATTGCCAAGTGAGCTTCATGGAGGAAGGGGATTTGAACCTGGGCCCCCCTGGTCCTGCTTAGATGTCAGTGTGTCCTACTATACTACACTGACTCTATTTACTTATCCAGTACAATGTTATAGATAGAAATAATATACTGATCCTCACTATAGATAGAAGTAATATACTGATCCTTACTAGCCAAAGCTTATGTAATAATAGGAGCAACATGACTGGAATAAGAGCAATGTGACTGGGATAAAGGTCTTGTGTTAAATCCACCATGACGTTTTCACACCCCAAAGGGATGTCCATCCATGGAGTGCAACTTCCCTGATCCTCCCCCCCCCCTCCAAATGCCACTACTAGTGACGGAAATGAGGCGGGGAATTGTCATAACACACACACACACCCAAATGCACATGCAAATGCTTCGGTGGACCCAGGCCTTTTTGAATTGTTTTCATTGGTAGTCAGACAGTGAAGCTCATTTATTGCCTGGCTGCATGTACGCCTATATGTTTGTCTGCGTAAGCTGTAATTGCTACATGCTTGTGAATACGATCCATTAGGTGTGCTGCTGCATGTTTATTGCAGTCTGTAGTTCTCTGTTTGGGAAGGGAGAAGGAGCTAATACTTTTTAAAATCTCATTTTGTAATTTTGTATTGTCACCGTTCTAAAAGTTCTAATATAAAAATTAAGATGGCCTGCTAAGGACCTCTGTTTAGTTTGTAGCACTTGTGGGTCGCTAGAGAGGTCTTGGAAAAACCTGTGTTACGTTGTGCTGTAGCCTTGGAAACTAGCGTAGAGGGGCGCTTGGGGGAGGGGCTGTGGCTTGGTGAAAGAGCCTTTGCTTTACATTTGTTTGTTTGTTCAATTTATACCCCGCCCTCCCCGCCAAAGCAGGCTTAGGGCGGCTTATACACAGATAAAACATAAACAAACACTTCACTCATAAAACCTTATAAAACCTTCTAACACAGAGAAGTTCCCAGGTTCAGTTCCCAGCATCTCCAGGTAAAAGGATCAGGCAGTAGGTGATGTGGAAGACCTACGCCTGAGACCCTGGAGAACCACTGCCCAGTCTGAGGAGATAATACGAACCTTGATGGAACTGATGGTCTAATTCAGTATAAAACAGCTTCATGTGTGTGAATTTGGCTTCTCCTTGCTGTAGAATCATAGAATGTTAGAGTTGGAAGGGACCTTGCAGGTCGTCTAGTCCAACCCCCTGCACTCTGCAGGAGCATAGCCAAAAGGTAGCCCTACAACATACCCGAAAGATGGTCGTCCAGCCTCCACTTGAAAATGTCCAGTGAAGGAGCATCCACCACCTCTCAAGGCAGTCTATTCCACTGCTCAACCACTCTTACAGTTAGGAAGTTTCTCCTGCTATTTAGCCGGTAATGACTCCCTTGTAATTTCCACCCATTAGAATCTAGTCTTGCAATCTGGAGCAAGAGAGAATAGATCTGCTCTGTATTGCTCCTCTTTCTCCTCCTGTCCATTATTCCCTTGCCCACTACAGCTTTGTGTAAGAATTCCAAGTTGCACCAGCCCTTGCAGTTGGAATCTTAAAAAATCTGGAATTTCTTAATGTTGGAATCAAGGCACTGTGTTTAAGACTTCTTAAACCGGCATAACTGCATTGCACGTTAGTATATCCGTATTATTTGTTTGCTATGCTGTACATGAGGAAAATATTAATTTGGAGTAACTTTTTTAATGCATTGGCCAGGTTGAAGGAGCAGAGTATGAAGAACTTGTCCGCCTTCATGATTCCGTGTATGATCAAGCTGTCGCCTGGTTTACTTCTCTTAAGGACAATATGAAAGCCCAGATTTTAAACCACTTTGGATCAATGCCAGGGAAAGAACCTGAGCCACAGGTAAATATTACACCACAAATCTATAATTAAGTGGCGTTCAGAAGTCAGAGCATGGAAAGGAAATAGAGATTCTCAGAGGCTGCTGGGGTTTCCAGGCATATGCTGTGTTCAGCCACCTACCAGTAAATCTGTAAAATATGGAGGCGGGGGATGAATAGGGATTAGCTGAAACCCATTCTTCAGACTAAAGCTGACAGTAAGGGGGAAAGGAAATAGTTTGTGCCCAGAAATTATAAATGATGGGAATTGACCAGAGGACTATGTTATTGTGGTGTGTGTGTGTGTGTTAGGTCTTCTGTATATCAACATTCTTTTTCAGGGGCCTGTTATAAGCCTTAAGAGTTCATCCAGTAGTGATGCCATAATATGGGTAGGACAAAACATGCCTTAGAGTTGATATTATAGTAGATCAGTTCATTGAAATACATTCCTTAAAATGTGTTGCATTCTGGTTTGGTTTCGCTTGGGAGGAACTGTCTCCATTTACTGTCTTTTTCTAGAGCAGCAGGACAAATTTGGTCAGCCCTGGCTAGCCAGATTTTTTTTTTGGGGGGGGGGGAATGTTGCAAAATCCCAAAGCACAACAGCACCACATTTTCTGTCTGTTTTTCAGTAAGAAAGAAGTTGGAATCAGGGTTGTTTGTTTGTTTGTTTTTTAAAGTTATCTGTAGCCTTTCTCATCTTGGGGAAAGATTAGGAAGTAGCGTGCAGGAAGTAACCTTGAAAGATCCTGTCTGACTGTTAACTAACTACACATCACATGGAAATATGTGCATAAGCACTCATCTTGTGTAGCTTTTGTTTCAGAAAAAGAGATTTAGATCGGGGGATTTGGAATGTGGAAGCACTGGGAGGGGCACCTTAAATACATAAATAAATAAATAAATATTTTTGCCATTTTTTCCATGCCAGGTCTCTCCCCCCCCCCTCCAATTTCCAGTCACAGAATTTGGGACTGTACAGTTGGAGATAGGATAAGCATCTGTCGTACATTTATCTGCTCTGTATCCGCTTTTATTTTTTAAACAAACAAACAGAAAGGCTCTGTATATAGTTGGGCCCCTAATAATTTAGGATTTAGTGTCAAGCATAATATATTTTCAAAAGTGTCCCTTTCCCCTAGTCCCCTGAAAAAAGATCAGTAGCTGTTCAGCACTCTAGAATTGACTGACACGGTTAATTTACATATCTAGATTTATGGCCCACTGAGACATCACTTTGGCTTAAAATTATTCCTTCTTTGCATCAGTTACATTTGTGTTCATTCTAATAAAGAATGTGCCAAAATACCTGACCCAGTCTAGCTTTGTTTCTTTGTTCTATTTTTCTGCGTTCAATTTTCTGAATCTATAAATCCATATTTTTGTCTACAATTAAATGGTGAAGGAATAGTCTTATTGTCAAGCAGTGCTGTTCTGTCAGAACAAGAGTATAGATTTTACTTTGGCATTTCCAGCTGTGACAAAAAAAGAACAGATAATTGCAGGATAACTCCACACTGGTGTGAGCAGAAAGCTTTCTGGCACTTAAAATTATTTACCTTATTTAGTATTAGAATATCTGCATGAAAAGATCATTTTTTAATTTTTTAGCAGAGTTGTTTAACTTAGCATGGGAGAGGGATGTGGGAAATATAGCCCAGGAAAGACCTGTATCAGTAGTTTTTTCACCGTATGGACTGTGCAGGTCCCAACCGACTACTTCTGTAGTGCAGATAAATCAACACAGGCTGGAGTCCTAACACAGAGGCCTGTATCTGCACAGTTCTAAATCCTTACAGGCTCTGCCATCATCTCAAGAGGTGGTGATAATTTATGCCAATTCCCTTCCCCCACCCACTTTGCCCCCTGTGCTATTCCTGAGGGTCGACTGACCCTAGAGAACAAAATTCCACAGGGCCCAGTGGGTGACACTGGGAGAGGGAAGCGAGAATGTCCACGAGCAGATCTTGTTAGATACAAGGCAGAAATCAGTGGCGTTTGAATATATATACACACAAACAGCCTCTAAAAAAAAGTCTTGGCGACATGGTGGTATTAGTATCTCAAATAAACCTTGGGTGCGGTCACACACGCGAGATAAACCCGGGGGGGGAGGGAGGCTATTCCCTCCGGAGGAATTTGACCCACAGTTGTGTGATCACACAGTCCTTTGAAGCTGCGGGGGTGGCCTGCCACTGCGTGATCAGACGCAACCACGGGTGAGTTGGGGGGGTTGCCGTTTGTTTCCGATGCGCTTAAACGGGGAATCGATGAATCGCATCTCAGCACTGAGGGCTCCCTATGGAGTGTGCGATGATGTACATACTGAGAGGGGGGGGGGACCATGGCACAGAGTTGGGATGGCATGATCAGACCATCCCGATGCCATGAGAGCGCGCTGGAGGAATCAGACATGGGAAAGTCCGTCCGTGGCCCGTAGCAACCTGTTTGCTACCAGACTTTCCCCAGTGTCTTTTTACTCTGCTTCTGCGGCAGAGCAGAATGGGTTGCCGATGGGTGTGGGGAGCTTTCCAGATGTTCATGTCTGATCGCGCCCTTTAAATCTGCCCAGCATTCATGCCTATGGCGTGGCTAATTGTGCGTGTGATTGCGCCCCTTGATTCCTTTTGTTTTGTTTCCAGTCAGGCTGACAGGAAGTTTCAGAAAAGCGATAATGATGATGTTTGTGTTTTTATTTTATTTACAAAACGTATGCCCCACCTTTCTGCCCTCATCGGGGCTAACTGGGAGGCTATCAAATTAAAAACACCTCTTAAAAAAACCATTAAAACCAAACAAAAATCCATTAAGACAATTAAAATCCAGCTAAAACAGATATACAAACAATAGTTAAAACTTAGGGGTGGAAGGAAGGAAAGGGAGAGGGGTCACTGAAGGAATGCCAGTCTGAACGCACTGGTGGAGGACTCCCAACAGAATGGGACAAGCGAGTCTTTCTGAGCGGAGGAGTTCCAGAGTTTTGGTGCCACAACCAAAATGGCCCTCTCCCAGGTTGCCAGCTGCCTAATCTCAGAAGGCAGAGGCACCTGAAGTGCTGAAGGATTTGTGCAGACTTTCTGTAATAGTACTCATCTTTTTTTTTGCTCCAGTTGACTATCAGAGAGGCAGTAGGTAGATCCTAGATCACTGCGTTCTGCCTTTACACTCATTTTAGAGCTGTCACCGTTTTCTTTTGTTTCTCTTGCAGAGCAGTCCCAGTGGTCCGGCTTGGTCTTGGTGGCTATTAGCCGTATTACCACTAGAGAACAGGGCCCAGTTGGCCATTCTTGCCATGACTTCGCTGAAAGACCGGCTTATTGCTATACGACGTGTATTAATATTTGTGACGCGCAAAAGACCCAGATGACATCGCCTTATCTGTGACCCACTTGTTGCAAATGCAAGAAAGAAAGAAGATATCAAACAATTATTCCTACTAATGACAGTGATCTGCTCATCTCGGCATGCACCATCGTTTGCACTCTCTATCCAGTAGTTAAGCACTCAGTGCCTATTGTCCTAAAGAAATCTGAGCCTCTTGGAAGTTGTGCCACAATTACAACATAGCTAACAGTACGGTTGTAGGCAACAGCTCAAAAATACCCCAATTGTCTACTTGTTACAGTGAGACAAGCAAGTTAGGAGCCCTACGTTGTCACAAAGCCCTAAATGAGGTTTCAACTTAGTAGCAATGACACAAACTCAGAACAGTAGATTAGGAACTGGGGGGGAAATGCATTATTAGAATATGCCTGATAGCAAACTGAAGGGAAATTCCTCAGACTGAAGGAAGAATGGCAACCGAATGAGCAGAACAGTCTTTCCATCTGCAGCCTCTTGACTAAATGATTGATGTATGAAGTGAACTGGGATTTTCCTGATCAAAATATTCCCTTCAGAGGATTTGTCTGTCCAGAAGAGCAGCTGCTGAAGAGCAGTGTGGCTAGTAGAACAAGTTAATCTCTTGTGTTTTGTAATTTGCATGCTGTGTGTAATAGGAAGAATGTTTAAAATATATATATATATATATTATTCTCTCCCCCCCCCCAATCAGAACAACCTCCGGCAGCCTCTATCACAAAATTACCTAGAGTCTGCCCAGTCCTCAGTGGCTGTACCCCCCTGGGCCCTGTGCACACGAGGATCCCATTGCCTGCAATGGCATATGAAATTTTATGAGTGTATGGGATACTTTGCCACTGTTACCACTTGAACATATCAGACTCTAATGGCTGGATCATGGCCAGTGTTTAGCTTACATATACTTTGTTGTTTTAGGCTGTTCTGTGGTTAGCTCATTAAAAAGCTGTTGAGAGATAAAATTTGCTACTTCAGATTATCCTACATGTTCATTCAAGATTCAGTTTACCTGTGCATACAACTGCCAGACCAGCCTATTATACTGGAACAATGTTAGTACATTTGTTTTTTTTAAACCAAAACTTTAATATTCCTCTATGTACCGACTACTGTCTGTGCTTGAAGTCTTTTTGTCCATGGTGACAACATTGAAAGGAGGCACAAATTAAAACCCTGTAAAAGCAAATCTCAATGCAAGCTTAAACCAGGTGTTACCTTCAATTTGTTGTTGGTTTTGTAAATATATTTGTACTTTGATGTCTTAGTACCTATTGTTTGATGACTTCTAAAAATGGTCAGGCAACCCATTGGAAAGAAATTTTTTAGCAGGTGTGAAATAACAAAACAATGCAAATAGCGGAGGTCTTTTAAGTTGTAGAAATAGTTGTACTCTTGGGAGAGAGGAGTCAGCGGGTTCAGATCTCAACACATTGTGCAAATGGAAGGCAAAGTAAAACATTGGCTCATGTGCAAATAATTTGGCAAGGTGATAATAGTGGCAATACCAAAATACTTTAAAAGTGCCTCCTTTTAAATTAGAAAAAGAAAGTTCTCTTTAGACAAAGGCTGTAAACACTTGCACATGAATTCAGGAAGAAATATTTAAAAATCATTTAACTGTGTTCTTTGGTATGGTAATTGTAGTCTGAGTTGATACTAGACGATTGGCAAAAATATCTAGTCCGAAGTTGCCAGTAGTGATTTCCTCAGAACTGATCAATGCACCCTGAATGTACTGTAGTTGCCTCTACCTTGAATTAGCCTTTTGTAGTTAAGTAACGACCTCTGACTACTCTTTTAATTGTAAACTGTGTAACTTGCAACCAATGATCTAATAATCTCTACCATAGCCTTCCTGCAAGTTCTGCTACCTTTTCCAGAGTTTGTAGATAATGTGGTGGTGGTTGTTCTTTCTTCAAGTATTTTTAGCGAGCATTAAAGCCAGAAAAAGGGAGGTCTTAGGGTGTATTCCCTTCTATCCATTCCCTAGGTGCTATCATACTTCCCCACCACCGCTGTCTTCCAGTTAATCCACTGGACTTCACAAAGCTTCCAAAGTTAACTAAGCATGCCCTCATTAATTTTTTGGCAGGGAACTTGGATCATCTGCATTGACTTTTCACAATACGTTTTGACTGTTTGTTTTAAACATTTTTTACCACTTCCAGGTATAACTCAAACCCGTTTTTCCTCTCTGTCTGTCTCCTTTTCTTCTATGGATTGATGAAATAACTGAGAATTGGTGTACAACTAAGGAACTGTTTTGTTCCAGTAATTTATTAGTTCAGCGTTTTCCACTCTCTTAGATTGTATTCCCTGCAGTCTCCTTGAAGAGTCCTCTTGTGTTTAGGATGAAGGACTTTTTCCAACAGTCTTCAGCATGGTGTCAGTCTGTAATGGTGTCAGTCCTTAAAATTAAGGTCACGTCTGCTGTTTTATCAGTCAAACTGCCAAAGGAGCAGATGTGTACCTTAAATTAAGGTACGCGATGAGAGCTGGAGTTTTAAACCTCTTTTCTCTCTTAGGCTGATTGGTCTGGCAATTTGGGAGAACTGGGATGGGTGAGTGTCTGCAGCACAAAAGGGTTTTGAGAAAAACATGTGAGACATAATATTTTGTTGACTACGGCAGGGTGGAGAAGGCATTCCAGCCTCCCCTATAAAAAGCAAACATGCAGAAGCTTGTTTTTACATCGCAAGCCAGCTCTGACACTTCCAAATAATAGATGTATTTGAAGTTCAGTTGTCTTTTGAACTTCATAAATCTATACCAGTTGTTTGCTACTGTGGCCTTTTATCAGCTGCTTCTAACTGTCCTTTCTTCTTTTCAATCATGGAGATTGTTTTGTGACTCCACTGAGCTGATAATCAGCAGATTACTGCTTCTCCTTTGGCTTGTGCTGCAGTTAATTTCCAAACAGAATAAATGGCCATGGTGTTCAGGAGACTGTGTGCTTTAGTCATACAGTATCTAGGGTATCTGAAGGACTGGTGTCTGGTAGCACCTTAATTTTGCAGCTCTGGAATGATTGTATCAACAAAGCAACGCAAAACCGGATCTGGGGCTTGTGACCAGGGCGTTGATGTTGTTTGTGTGTGTGTGTGTGTGTTTTAAACTACATTTATGTAGATAAAACTTGAAACAAAATCCTCATCTGTTTTTGAAGCTTGTTGAACTGTGTGTGTATGTATGTATGTATGTGTACATATGTATAGATGTAAATTATTAATCTGCGCCTTTTTTGTATTTAGTGAAAACAAAAACAAAACAGATCTGTGTTACAACCATGTTTGGCATTTCTTGTTCTCTAAAATGAAGCCAAACTTTTTTTAACTTTTTTTTTTTTTTTTGCAATGTTCATTTCATGTATATTTGGAATATTCATGGGGAAATGTATTTATGTGATATTTGGAATAAATAAATTCAGTTTACACATGTCAAGCTGTCCTTTTACTAACCCTTTGATTTCAGGCAACGCTGCTGTTTATTGCTGGGAATCAGTAGTTTGTATGGCTACTTTCTTGAAACACCCAGTTTCATGCAGTACTGTCATTCCCTTCCACCCATTGGCAGAAAAGCAGCTTCAAGAAAGCAGTTTTGAGCTGATAGCAGGGAGGGAAGGAGTTAAGCTGCCTTTGGCCACTTCTGTGTTGTAACTTCGTGATGTTGCTGGGTATGTTTTCTTTTAAAAAAACAAAACCTTTGGGAAGAAAGAGTCACGAAACTTGTCATGTGTGGTTTGACCCTCAGAATAGTTTCTGTTGAATGTGTGTTAGCTTGCAACGGACCTGTTTGCCTCTAGCTAAACTTTAAAAAACCCAATAGACAGTCTGGGGGCATATTTTTCTTCAACTCCATAGAAGTGGAACATGGAACACAAATAGAAGCTCTTTGATTAGTAGCTGCATTGTTGAATTCTGTTTAAAATTAGTGTTTAAATATGGCAGGCATTTGTTTTCACTGGATAGAATTAGATGGGCTTCCCTTGGGGCCACTAGATGCATTCCCTCGCCATATTTTTTAAAAAATAGACTTAAACATTATTGTATGACAGTTTTTCGAATAGGGGAAATGTTGTTTTAAACAGTGGTGGTTGTTGCCTTTCCAAAAGTGGTAGTTCCCGATTCCCATCTTTCCTGATCCACCCAGTTCTGCCTCCACTTGAGATTCCTCTTGCTCATGGTGGATTTTTCTAGGTTGCTGCGATTCTTATCATGCTTTAGTGATCCTGAAAAATCAATCCCCTTTTAGCTACTATCACTGCAAGCTTGGCTGCTTTACAGAGCACAAGGGGGTACTTTCAAGGAAGGCAGTCACTTGCAAGGAGATGAAAATTTCTGAACTTAAAAAATATGACATTTCTTTCTCAATTTGATGTTCATAGGGCTTGGCGGCAGGCTTATAGGGGTTGGATGGTTATGAAAGAACTGTCGGAAATATTTTAGAGGAAGTCTGGCTATGGCCCTACCTTCTCTTCTGAAAGGTAATGGGGGCATGGCTATGACTTAATCGGGGAGGCAAATCTCTTTCAGGGATGTTTTGTTTGCCTAAAGGTGCTAAAATTCCTCTTGGTGCAGAATTTAAAAGTCCAGACTACATCAGGACTCCGTTAAGCCATGATCTGACCTTTTTTTTTTTTAATTTTAATAACAAGAAAATACAAACAATAGATTGATCTTTACAGCTTCGCATTTTGAAAATGACTTATACCAGATACAAAATATCATAATCTGTGCTTGGTAGTAATAACCGTTTCTATGAGATAAGTTATGTTAATGAATAGCATGGTATAAGTAAATGCATTTTTGATATGAGATTCATTATGATGGTTACCAATTATATAAATAAACACTCAAATAAACTTTCAAATAGTCAAAGACTCAAATATGCTGACACAGTATCTATGATGCTTTATGATTAAAATGGGAACATTACACCTTAGAAAAAATAAACTTATCTACAAAAACAGAAACAACTACCAAAAAACTAGCCTTATTTTATGCAAAATGGTCAGATTTTTTAGAGTTTTCACTTTCAAACACAAAATCTGACCTTCCATGAAAGAGGTTGGGCTTGCAGGTGCCCCACCGCCCCTTGTGGCATCCTGGATTTGCTGGTCATCATCAATATTTTTGTCCTAGCTCAACAAACTATGGTTTTGTGGCTCTGCTCCAAACCAAAATTGCAAGCCATGGGAAAGCCAACCCAGATGTATGGGAAAGTATAAAGGAGGAGGAGGAGAGGGAGAATGAAAGACTGAATTTGTTCACACAAGAGCAAACCATGCTTTGGCATGATGTCTGAAGTATCCCCTAATCTAGTACAAATTTGTATGGTCTAAATTTTGCCTATGTGTTTTGACTTGGCCCTTGTAGAAGCAGGAGGGGGGGACTTGCAATTGTTAACAAATATAATGAACTGCATAGAGATGGCGTCCAGCTAAAGGTTGGAAGGGATGAAACACAGTAAAAAACGGTGCATAGGTGAGGCTGAATAGAACAGAAGCAGGGATACATGTTAAAGAAAGCAAAATTTTAAAACGTTTACCAATTACAAACAGGTTGAATGAAGGCAAGCATCCATTGCTCATTGTCCCGGCCTCCTACACAGCAAGAGCACAGAAAAACATAAGATACGTGACAGTCTGATTTGTGTAGGTGTCCTGTATAAGACACAGA